CTGTGGCTCCGCCCGCCGCAGCCGGAGCGTTGTGATTGGTTCACTGGCAAGTGCCGCCCCACGTTCCTCCAATCCCGGAGTCGGATACTTTTCCTCGCCCGGGTTCCGCTGGTTGCGCAGATAGAGTTGTTTGTCTCTAGACTACGCTACTCTTCTCCGACTTTGGTATGCGTGGGGGTCCGGAAGGCAGAGGCTAAGCGAAAACATTAGCCTCATGGGAGCGGCAGTCAGCGTGCACACGCTGACTCCGGTGCACGGGTCGAGTGGTTCGGCCTTAGCTGTCGGGATGGCGCACGGCCTGGAACTTGGGTCTGGCCAACTTCCGAGCTGGTGTTTTGACCGGAGACCTACTGCATCCATCTAAGCGGATTTATTTTGTTTCTTGTTTTTAAGAGACAGGATCTCCCTTGTGTAGCCCTGGTTGCCCTGGAACTCAACTACGTAGACCAGGCTGGTCTGGAACTCACAGAAATTCGCCTGCCTCTGCCTCTCGAGTGCAGGGATTAAAGGCGTGCGCCACCACACCCGCCTCGTTTAATTTTTAAATTATTATTAGTGTGTGCGTGCGTGCGCGCGCCCATAATGTGTGCTGGTGCTGTAACCCTAGGTCTCACATGCCTGGCAGTTACTGCGCTACGTAGTCACCACTAGCCCTTAACAGATTCTAAGTTGATAACCGTGTAAAGTGAAAAAAATAGTCATCTTGTCTCCCAGCCCCACTTGTGGTGTATTTAAAAATTACAAAGTCTTGTTGAGGGCGATGGCACAGCCCTGGAATTATAGCACTTAAGAGATGAGGCAGGATAGGACGAGCAAGGGCAGTAGGCCTGTAATCGCAATACTTGGAGATACCGGCAGGCGTTTAAGGCCGGGCCCAGCTATGTGAGGCCCTGTCCTAAAGTTACCAATTCTTTTGTAACTGCCTTCCCGGTTTCTGACTCCTAACAGGTCTAAGGCGGTACAGCAACCCTAGATGAGTCTGGTAACAGCTGGTTTGGGAAGTGCTGTGGCGGTCCCATTTGGGTGGCCGTGGGCTGGGCTGCTTCTGCCTTCTCTAACAAATGCATCTACGGGGTGCGCCCTGTCACATTTCTGGGATAAACATTTCTCAATAAAGGTGAATGAGATGTGCTATATGTGTTTGCATGTTTTTATTTTTATTTTATAATGTTTTTTAATAAGATATTTTTCAAAGCAGTGTGTCTTTTACTAGTTGTGGGTGACTTAAGAGAGTGCCCCCAAGTCTTCCATATGTATGCTTTGTTTCCTTTTCTTTGGTATACAGACACTTTGATTAGCACAGCTGGCTGGCTGTGCCATGTATGGGACTGTAGTGTTCAAAATGAAAACATGATTCCCATTGCCATGTATCCGTATCCCACCTAATGGGAAGGCTGAAGTGGGAGGATCTTTTGAGCTCAGTGGTTGAAGATCAATCTAGGCAACACAGTCAAATCCAATTCAGAAAGGAAAGCTGATGATGGTGGTCCTCACCTGAAATCCTAGCACTTGGGAAATCAAAGACGACAGATTGGGAGTTCAAGGTCATACTCAGCTACCAAGTGAGTTTGAGGCCAACCTGGAATACTTGAGTCCCCATCTCAATCAATCCAAGAACAAAAAAGAAAAAAAATGTCAGATCCAGGATTTCAGGTGGAATTGCTTATTGGAGTGCTCACTTAGCACCCTCAGATCTGGCTTTGATCTCCAGTAAAGCAAGCTGTTTCTTCTTCTTCCAGTCCTGGTTGTACAGCCTCTAATCTCAGCTAACCCCAGAGACTGAAGCAGGATGATTGTAGATTGATGCCTTCTTGAACTACACAGATCAAGGACATTCTTACCCACTTTTTGAGACCCTGCCTCGAGTTCAAGAGGTCTGGCTCAGTGGCAGAACAATTCTCTAGCAAGAGCAAGGATCTAGACTGTCCTAGTACCTCATATTTGTTAAGCTGTACGTAGTGGTCTCAGCCAAGGGCTGGTGATGTAGCCCACGAGAGGGTACTTGCCTGTCGTGTACAAGGCTCAGGATTCCATCCCTGGCACTTCAGAACCACCAACCAATCAACCAACCTCAAGGTGATAGATATGAAAGCATTAAACCAAGTATAGAGCTGTAGAGCTCTGTTGATAACCAAGTTCAGGGCCTAGGAAGGCAAACTTGGTTGGTTGAAAGCCTGAGAAGTACATTGTTTTCGTTTTTTTTTTTTTTTTTTTTTTTTTTTTTTTTTAAACCAGGTGATGGTGGTACACTACTTTAATCCTAAGTACCCAGGAAGCAGAGGCACAAAAATCTCTGTGAGGTCAAGGCCAGTTTGGTCTATAGAGCAAGTTCTAGGACAGCCAGGGCCACACAGGGAAGCCCTGTCCAAAAAAAAAACAAAAAACAAAAAAAACCAACAACAACAACAACAAGAAAACCCAACTCAATAACAACAAAAAGGATCTGTTTCAGCACATTTATTTAGACAGGTTCACGCTATTATCAACTGGGCTTGTCTTGATCTTGATTCCTGGAGCCTCCAGACCCTCCCAGTGTGTCTTTGTCCCTGCCTAGTAAGGTGTCACAGGCCAATGACTCTTTTCTTCTATTTGCTCTCCAGCTGCTGATGCACGGAGTCCCCGGGGTCCCTGTCTACACTGCTGACCAGCCCACCCACCTGTGCTGCACCTTCCTGTGGGTCTCCCTCCCGCTTCTGTGGGACCCCGTGACGTGGGTTCAATCCAACCAGAGAAGAAAACCCTCTCATGCTAGTGTTGCAGACCCCAGAGGGTGAGAGAAAAGGGGACCTTATTCAGCCTTGAAACCCATGGGCTCAGCCCCTAAAGGAGTCATTCCAAACCTTTCTGTAATCAAGGCCCTCTTGTTATACATGTCTTGTTGCTGCTGCAATTTTTATCCGCCAAACTGTACAGATAAAAGTATCTATTGACTTTTCCCTTTCCAAATTAACAGACGTCTCTGAGTGTACAATAAAATAAATGTTCAATGATTGCTATGTGGTCGTCAACAGTCAGGGATCCTGATCAGCATGCACAGAAAACAGAAAACCTTTCTGTCAGCCTCTGTGGTCTCACTGTGGGTGAGGGTTTCTTGTGGGCTCTGTAACATACTAAAGACAACATGAGCATCCCCAGTCTGATCTCAGGCGGCCCCCAGGTGTGTAGTAGGTCCCAGACTGGGAAGCACCGGCCGTTGAGGGTTGTGCTGGGTGTGCTCTGGGAGGGAGGAGTGGGAAATCCAGACCTGAAGAAGCTGGCTTCCGTGTTAACCTGGGGCTTCGGAAGGACTGACCCAGATAGCCCTCTTCAGTTACACTGGTTTCCTTAGCAACAAACTACAACCAGAGTCCACGCTTCCTCCCCAGCTGACCCACTGGGACTTTACCTAGTGGGAGCAATAAAACTGTCTTCCCAAGAGGAGCAGGCACTGGTCCTTGTAGAAGTGACTTTTCAAAGGCAGACCTTGGTCTTGTTGGCCCCTTGGTGTTTTGTAAATGTCTGCAGGGTTAGTAGAGCTCCTTTGGGTCCAGGCGGCATTTGTAGCTCTGGAGAGCAATGTACTGGACCCAGTCTAATGAGACAGTCCCACGGTAGGTCTAGCCATTCAGGCACTACCGTGCATTTTCAGTGACACTGCAATAGCTTTGTCCACCAAACCTGGGCAGGGAGGCAGGAAAGTGCCTTCCTGGAAGATGTGAGCCCAAGGGCAAGCCAGGCCATTAAGGGGGAAGATTGGCTAGGCGGGCACCCTATCTTAAAGTTGAGGGACAGAAACTTCAACTTCACTGCTCCTGTGGCACCAGTTGGCTGGCTGCCAGGACAAGACTGTGTTGGATTTCTCAAATCTGTAGATAAGTTGCCAGAGCCCTTAGTTGTAATTGGTGAGTAGGATGGTGTTGACACTCTTGGTCCTCTGTGTGGCAGGTCCCGAGTGGCTGCTGAGATGGCCAATGAGAATCACGGCAGCCCCCGGGAGGAAGCATCCCTTCTAAGTCACTCTCCAGGCACCTCCAATCAGAGCCAGCCCTGTTCTCCAAAGCCAGTTCGCCTAGTACAGGACCTCCCAGGTACTGAAGGGAGTGGTGGGGGCTGGTAAGATAGCAGGGGTGCTGTGCACAGCCCTGACGGTCTGGGTTGTCCTCTTGTTTGCAGAGGAGCTGGTACATGCAGGCTGGGAGAAGTGCTGGAGCCGGAGGGAGAGCCGTCCTTACTACTTCAACCGATTCACCAACCAGTCCCTGTGGGAGATGCCCGTGCTGGGCCAGCACGATGTGCTTGTGAGTGCCAACTTGGGGCAAGGGTCTCAGAGCAGGCCTCTGGCCTTCCACAAATGTATCTCAAACAGCTAGGTGTCTTGCCCTGTGCTGATACCTACAGTTAAAATGTCAAGCAAGACAGCCCCTGTCTTCAGGGACCCTATCATCAATCAGGAGAGACAGGGGAGCAGATTATTAGTGTATGCTGAATACCGGGCACCATGCAAAGAGATAGAGACGTCAGCAAGAGCTCCCCGTCTTTGTGGTATGCTTATTCTGTGGCAGATAGTAGGATTCCAGTTGTGGACTTAAAGAATGTATTGAAATCCATTGGGGATCCTGGTCTGGGAAGAGAAGGAAGAGCTCCTCTGAGAATCAGGGTTTCAGGGCTGCTGGCTAAGGGGGAGAGAATGTTCTAGGAGTCTAACCACAGGCTATCTGGTAGGAACCTCAGCTCTTGGACCCCTCAGCTGGAGCAACCCTTACTATACACAGTCAGGCAGGGCCTCTTCTTTTTGCAGGTGAAGACAGTGAGGTTCAAAGGGAAGTAGCTGGCCCGAGGCCATATGGCTGCTTGTAGGCAGAGGGGTGTCTGCAGCGATTCTTGGTGTGGCTAAAGGAGGTCCATGCAGAGCCTTTGTATCTGAAAAATAACATTCGCTGACTTCTCTTGATTCCTGATTGCTATTTGTTCTTGAGGCGCTGATCTAACACAGACATCATACCAAGTCACTCACTGACTTGTGTCACAATGTCAGTGCTGAGGTGGGGCTGACGTGGCCTTTCTGAAGGTGAGGGCATAAGGAAGCAGGTAGCAGGCAGGATGGAGGCCAGGGTTTTTCATCTGCATCCCAGGCCTTTGGCCTCCTTAAGGAAGAGTCTGAAGTGTGGGGCTCCTAAGCCACTGGCCCTGTTTGCAGTTCCACTGTTTTCCCTCCACTAGTCGGACCCTTTGGGGCTGAATGCAACCCCACTGCCCCAAGACTCAAGCTTGGAAACTCCTCCAGTGGAGAACAAGCCCAGGAAGCGGCAGCTCTCGGAAGAGCAGCCAAGTGGCAACGGTGTGAAGAAGCCCAAGGTGAGTGTCGGGGCTCTCAGGACCTGGCTGCTAAGTGGTTACCTTGGGCATGTGGCCAGCAGCTCCCTGCGAGGGCTGGGTCACGAGGGAGTCCCAAGTGCAGCTGCTGGGCATGCTGCTGGGCCTGGCTGCAGTCCTGCCTTGATGCCTTTTGGATTCTTTTCCTTCAGATAGAAATACCTGTGACACCCACAAGCCAGTCGGTGCCCAGTTCCCCCAGCATCCCAGGAACCCCAACACTAAAGATTTGGGGTGCATCTGCTGAAGATAAGCAAGCAGCTCTCCTCCGACCCACTGAGTGAGTCCTTGCTGACTGGCTTAGCTGTATCCGCTGCTGATGGGCAGCCTGCCCAGGACTGTGTGGTGTGGTAGTGGTGGGCAGGCCATCCTCACAACTCCTGTCTGTGCCCTAGGGTGTACTGGGACCTGGACATCCAGACCAATGCTGTCATCAAGCACAGGGCTCCTTCCGAGGTCCTGCCCCCACACCCTGAGGTCGAGCTGCTCCGCTCGCAGCTCATCCTGAAGCTCCGCCAGCACTACCGGGAGCTGTGCCAGCAGCGGGAGGGTGAGGGCTCTGCAGCCTGCCGTGGCGTCACCACTTGGGTGTGGGTGGGAACTGGTGTGTGCTGCAGGGACGCGGACCTGTTGGGGTCCCAGCTCTGTGATGCTGAGTGCTTCTCGGTGTGTCTGCCGCTTGTACGCCTGGAAGGTGAGAACCAAAACTCTTAGAGAGAGCCTGCTTGGATGGAGCCCACACCTCCCAGCTCCCAGGAGGCTCAGGCAGGATTTTGAATTCCAGGCTAGTCTGGGCTGCATTACCAGACCCTGTCTTAAAAAAAATCAAGTACTCAAGATTCTCAGACTATAGTTTGGGAAAATGGAAGTCTAGGAAATCAGCATGTGAAAAACACCTTTTCCTGTCTCAGTGGACTCCGCCGACTACTCCGGGTCCTTAGCAGCTCTCTTGTCTCACAGGCATTGAGCCACCCCGAGAATCTTTCAACCGCTGGATGCTGGAGCGCAAAGTAGTAGACAAAGGGTCTGACCCCCTGCTGCCAAGCAACTGTGAACCAGTTGTGTCACCTTCCATGTTTCGTGAAATTATGAATGACATTCCCATCAGGTATAGCTCCACAGCTCAGCTGCTTGGTCCTTGTGCCAGGTCACATGTAGGAGGGCGCTAACTCTTGCCTGTTTTCTAACTCAGGTTATCCCGAATCAAGTTCCGGGAGGAAGCCAAACGCCTGCTCTTTAAATATGCAGAGGCTGCCAGGCGGCTCATTGAGTCCAGGTTTGGCTTTCTCTGCCCCACACAATCAAAATGGGGGTGGGGGGGGCATACACCTGGCTAACGCTCATAGGCTTGTCAATGCTGCCCAAGACAGGTGGGTGGCAAGCCTAGAGGCTAGTGCCTGAGATGGGAGTGAAGGAGGAGGAGCAGGGGAGGAGCAGAGACCTAACAGCTGGGCCCTGCACCAAGTACAGCTTTCTCTTGCGATCAACCTGCAGGAGCGCATCCCCTGACAGCAGGAAAGTGGTCAAGTGGAACGTGGAAGACACCTTCAGCTGGCTTCGGAAGGACCACTCGGCCTCCAAGGAGGACTACATGGTGAGAGGGCCCCAGGGCGAGGTGAAAGACTCTGCTGCTGGTCAGGCTGGCTTCCACAACAGCCTTTGTGCAGCGAGGCAGACCGTGATGCCCATCAGTCCCCAGTCACTGGAGATGCTCAAGGCCCATGGCTTTCTCTCAACCATTCTTACTGCAATCTTAGGCTCAGACGCATACAAACAGCTGCCTTTCAACCTGATGAATGTTCAACATGTCTCCTCAGTAGATCTGTGAGAGCAGTCTGCCTTTTCTTGTGTGTATCCATATTACAATTAAAAGCCACCTTTAGGGGGTTGAAGAGATGGCTCAGCAGTTAAGAGCACTAGCTGTTCTTCCAATGAATTGGGCTTCAATTCCAGCACCTACATGGAGCTGACAGCTGCCTGTAGCTCCCATTATAAGGGATCTGACGCCGCTTCTGCTGCTGGGGGCACCAGGCGGCACCTGGTGTCCAGACATAAGACCTAAGAGATGGTAAACACTAATATCACACACAAGCCAAATACTGAAAAACAGCCAGCCCCCATCAGATTCGGTCCCTATTCTTAGTGTATCTACAGCCCTTCTGTTCTCTGGCCCGTGCCTGTCCCCTCTCCCTCTCCATCAGCACTTGCAATGGGCTTTCTTTTCAGGACTGTTTCTCATAGACACGTTTTACACATGACAACATTAAGTGTACTTGACATGTGGTGACACACACAGGTCCAGCCCTGGCCAGAGTGACCTGTTCTCCCGTTGCAGTTTCACAGGTATCATTTTCTTTACAAGGACTTCAAAGTACAACCTTTAAGTCTGCACCAACCAAGTTCTCTGTGCTGTAGCAGCCCTCCAGTAGAAGGCCAGCGCTGTACGCTGGGGGCCTGACCACCAGTCATCTTGGGTTCCACCCATGGAACTGCAACAAAAACTGCAGCCGTTCATTGGACGGGCTTGGTGGATCAAGGGAATGACACTGACTGTTCACAATGTCCTGTTTGCTAGCTTCAATTCCCTTGATAGGAACAAGATTCAGAGAAGTCCAAGCAACATGGCTAGTAAACAGTAGAGCCACTGTCAAAACTGGGACATCTGGGGTCCAATAGCCCCACAAGCGTTCCACCTGCCAGCCCCACCGAGGCCCTTGGGCCACCAGTGTCCTGACCAGGGCTTTTCTCCAGGACCGCCTGGAGCACCTGCGGAGGCAGTGTGGGCCCCATGTCTCCGCTGCAGCCAAGGACTCTGTGGAAGGCATCTGCAGCAAGATCTACCACATCTCCCTGGAGTATGTTAAACGGATCCGAGAGAAGCACCTCGCCATCCTCAAGGAAAACAACATCCCAGGTAGGGCTGAAATGGCGAGCCACCTCTAATGCCATCTAGCCTGTGTCCTAGGCCCTGGTTGAAGAACCATGTGAGGCTGTGCCTCAGAGCCAGGGACTGGACTGATTTGGGAGAACCTAATTTCTTGGAGTAATGTTGGATAGAACCTGCTGTGTCCTTTGGCTCTGGGGTGTTAGTACTCCCCTGGGAAATGAACTAATGAGAATCAGAGAGCCAGAAGTTGATGAAAGATGGGCCTACAGTTAGTTAAGCAGACCTGGGTCATATCCCTAAAACTTTGCTTTCCCCAGCCCCAAGTGTAATAATTCCTGCCATGATAATGTGAGTGTTCATATCAAAAAACCACACAGGCCCCAAAGATCCCTATATAAGCAAACTCAACTGTCCAAACAAAGGCCACAATTTTCATACTTCAATTGTCTAGCAGGCCAAAGGCATTGCAAATGGAGTCTGCTTCAATGCCGAGTGTATTGATACATGCCACCAGTTACTGCCACTTGCCTGGTGGCTTTTTAAATGGCTGTTTCCTTTGTGACGGAAACTGTGAGCACTGGCATTGTAAGCACAAGGGCTGCCTGGAGCTGGACAGCCCTCACTGTCCTCCTTGCCCACAGATGAGGTGGAGGCCTCAGAAGTGGAGCCCCGGCTGGTCTACTGCTACCCAGTTCGTCTGGCTGTGTCGGCACCCCCCATGCCTAGTGTGGAGATGCACATGGAGAATAGTGTGGTCTGCATCCGGTATAAGGGAGAGATGGTCAAGGTCAGCCGCAGCTACTTCAGCAAACTGGTGAGAGCTGGGGGAGCCCATGCTGATGGTGTGAGTGGAGGCTTGGGCCCTTCCTTGACCATCGTCCTCAGCAGCTGGCTAGTAACGAGATCCTAAGATCACTGCTCAATCCCTTTCTTTCTGTCACGCAGTGGCTCCTTTACCGCTATAGCTGTGTTGATGATTCAGCCTTTGAGAGGTTCCTGCCTCGAGTCTGGTGTCTTCTCCGTCGATACCAGGTATAGCTCTGGGGCCAGGGAGGGCTCCCTTGGCAGGGAACAGGAAGCCTGAGCCTCACACTGACTAAGGCTGATCTGCAGATGATGTTTGGCGTGGGCCTCTACGAGGGGACTGGCCTGCAGGGGTCACTGCCTGTGCACGTCTTTGAGGCCCTCCACCGACTCTTCGGCGTCAGTTTCGAGTGCTTCGCCTCCCCTCTCAACTGCTACTTCCGCCAGTACTGTTCTGCCTTCCCTGACACAGATGGCTACTTTGGCTCCCGCGGGTGAGATTCCGGGGTTGCTGGGTCCCTTCTGCCCACAACGATGCCCTCTAGGAGCCTGGGTGGCTTAGGGCTTTGGAGCCGGGCAGTCTTGAAGGTGGCCCCTGCTTCCCTGTCCACCATGTGTGCACACCATTTACACGCCGAGGGAGCTCTGGGAACCTCCAGTTCCCTGGCTTCCTGGGCGGACCATGTAACAGACACAACCTAGGCTGGCCTGTAGGCCTCTCCGTGAATGGGCTGAGGTTGGGACTAGGAAGCCCTGGCTCCAGGCGTTGAAGGATGAGAGGGAGCGAGCGCACCTTGAGAGCAGCAGGGTGAGGAGAGCACCGACGACCGGGTAAACTAGGGAGGAAGTGCTAGGTGGACAAGGAGAGGCCTGTGCTCGCCAGCCGGGGAAGCCCTGGGTGTGGCGTCTGCTGTGGCGGCTTTGGACTCTAGTTCAACTTAGTGGACACAGGTACACACTAGGCTCCATCCTCAGGTCACCTATTCGAGAGGCAGGGTCACTTTCCTTGTCCTAGCACAGTTAAGGGTGAAGGTTGGCCTCTGGCCCGACTGTGGTCATCTCTTCACTGTGGCTGTCTAGAGGTGGGGGCAGTATGTGTGAGGGGCTGGGTGCTGCTGGCGGGCCACAATGCTCACCTTTCTGTAGGCCCTGCCTGGACTTCGCCCCGCTGAGTGGTTCCTTTGAGGCCAACCCTCCGTTCTGCGAGGAGCTCATGGATGCTATGGTCTCTCACTTTGAGGTGGGTGTGCTGCCAACTGACGGGGCAGGCACAATTGCAGAGGGCCCTTCGGGGCAGGACCTCATCTCCACCCCATCCTTCCCCCCACAGAAACTGCTGGAGAGCTCACCAGAGCCCCTGTCCTTCATTGTGTTCATCCCCGAGTGGCGGGAGCCCCCCACGCCAGCGCTCACCCGAATGGAGCAGAGCCGCTTCAAACGCCACCAGCTGGTCTTGCCTGCCTTTGAGCACGAGTACCGCAGTGGCTCCCAGCACATCTGCAAGAAGTAGGTGCCCGGGCAGCGGGGGAGGAAGCCAGGCCAGGCTGGCAGGCTGGGGGAGCAGGCCGGCCCGTGCCCTACCTAAGCAGCTGCCTCTGCCCGCAGGGAGGAAATGCACTACAAGGCCGTCCACAACACGGCCGTGCTCTTCCTGCAGAATGACCCCGGCTTTGCCAAGTGGGGGCCGACACCGGAGCGGCTGCAGGAGCTCACCGCTGCCTACAAGCAGTCGGGCCGCAGCCACGGCTCCAGCTCTTCCTCCTCCTCCTCCTCCTCCTCAGAGGCCAAGGACCGGGACTCAGGCCGGGAGCAGGGCCCTAGCCGAGAGCCTCACCCCACTTAACATATCCTGCGGGGAGGAGGAGCCCTGGGGTGCTGTTCCAGACCTGCTGGGACTCGGCCCTCAGGGCCCTCCCCTGGGGTGGCAGCAGGACTTGGGCTGCCAGGGACATAGGAATATTATGACTCTGCCAGGGCTCCCCTCCCTGCTCTCACCCCCAGACTCACCAAGCCCCTTGTAAATAGGCCCATGCCTTCCCAGCCCCACACTCACCCTGTTGCTGCCTTGTTTCATTTGTAAAGGAAATACAGAAACTCCCCAAGAGTGTGTGAGGGCCTTGGGGCGACTGCCTCTGTGACCACTCTGTACCCCATCTAGGTGCCCCTTATCAAGAACCCTAGGTTTTCACACCCATCCATCCTTGGGTCTTTGTAGTTCTGAGTCCCTAGCGGCTTCTGAGCTCAACAGGTTGGAGGAGTCCAGAGCACTGCAGCTGAGCCTGCCTGGGTATCTCTGGGTTCTGCCTAAACCAGACTTACAGGCTGCTAAATGT